TGCAGGACACCGGCCCTCCAGGACTGAGTTTGGACAGCCCTGGTCTAGTGGGAGTCTCATGGGCGCTTTCGAAGCACTGCTTCATGAAGCTTCGAAACCTTTGCGAATCATTTGTTTCAAAGCAGTGGTTCAGAGTGTGAATCAAACTGCCAAAGTCACGTGATTGCAGTAAACGAGGCTTCAGTGCATCATACTGCTTCGAAATCATCGCCCCTCAACGAACCATTGAATCAACGTCTATGGTTTTGATCTGATCTCGAATCAGTTTTATGAATTTGTAGACATTTTTAATCAAACATTTGTGTAATTAAAATGATGAGCAGTAGTTAGTCTCTTACTGGCCTGTTTAGACAAGCTCTCCATAAAACAAACAAAACCTGCTAATTAATAAAAATTATATAAAAAAAAAAAAAAACATTATACTGACACTTCTTATTTAATTATATTTTATTATTTGAATGGATTGAATGTATTATACTTGAAATCAGGGGCGGATCTAGAAAATAATTTTTAGGGTGGCAAAGAGGTGGCAACACCAAAGCAAGCCCCCATGCATAGTTTTTGGGGATTTATGTTCTGACGTACACAGTTGTGTTCACAAATATTGTATTACCATTAAGTAATCATCTATACGGTTTAAAATGAAAAATAAATAACATTTCAATATCCATTATGGCACCAAGTCAATGCACAACAAACTTCAACAGGTTATAAATGTTTCGGAGCTCATATCACTAAAGACATGCGCTTCTATTAAAATTACATAGGCTACTTATAATCACGTTTAGTGCAAGTTTAAGAGCAACAAACACTTTTGAATTTTCTAACATTAGAAATACAATAATATTAAAGCACTGAAACGGTTTGATTTTCTGTTATGAACAGAGGTGGGAATGTCTGTAACCACTCAGAACAAACTCTAGCAACCATATACTCTAGCAACACCCCAGCAACTGCAGAGCAAGAGCCTAGCAACCACCCAGAATATCCTAGCAACCAACTAGCAACACTTTAGCAAACATCAAGAACATCTAACTGACCAAACCATTTACGTTTTTTAAACAAGACTTTAAGACAAGCCAGCATAAATGTCTTTCAATCTTTTCAATCTAGTTATTACAGTTTTTCTTACAGGTTTTTTTCAGCTGCTTGCACACATTTTCAAAACTTTGCCCTTTTTTTTTTTTTCAAACTTTACACACAAATCCAAGAATTGCACACAAAATGCCTCACATCTCTTGCAGAATGAGGTTGTGTTTTGCAAAAAGTGTTTTATGAACTTGAAAACTGAGTCAAAGCCCGAGAATTAGCGTATGGTTTTGCAGAGTTGGTGTGTGGTTCTGGTGTTTGAGTGTCAGCTTTCAGAAATTGTGTGACGAGTAAAGATTCTGTGTGTAAGCAGCTGAAAAAACTGCAAATGCTTACAATTCAAACACACAGATGACTTTCCTGCCCAGCGAACACTGAGATCAATAATACTGTGACAAAAAACTCACTAGGATTCAGGAATTATTTTTTGCAGCTCAATGTCTATTACAGTATACATAAATTAAATTACAGATACAGATGTATAATTCAGCAATGAACTTTTGGGAAAAAATCATTTTAATTTTACTACTGTAAAGTAATCTTGCAGTAAGGCAAGGCAAGTTTATTTATATAGCACATTTCATACACAATGGTAATTCAAAGTGCTTTACATAAAAGAA